TGTGTGTGTGTGTGTATATATATATATATATATATATATATATATATATCAAATAACCAATCAAAAACATTTGGAAAAAGGAGGGGGAGAAAATATTTAAAACTACACTTACAATTAATTTGTAATTTATTTTTAATGATCAAAAATAAAGAAATAATCAGTCACTAAAAGAAAAAACAAACACTTCATTTTTCCACGGCATGAACATTTGAATTTTTTTTTTCTGAATCGTTTTCATCTTGAGATGAAAAGAATTCAGATAGGAAAGTTTAAGTTTTCATGCTTTGAGGAAAAAAACAAGGTGTTCATCCTTCTTTTCTGTTCCATTTATTTCGTTAACTTTAAGATTCTTTTGAACATTAAAATAAAATTACAAATCAATTGTTGATGTAGTTTTTAAAATTTTTCATAGGCTCATTATGCTAGTGTTACTGATTGTTTATTTGATGTAAGCTTGTATATATAAGACAGACCAAGGTTAGGTTTGTAGGAGGAAGTATACCTGTTTTATGTTGTGGAGAGTAAAACACTCTTGTTGATTATGTTTTTCAAAAGTCATGTGCTGTTTTAATATTTTTTTTCGTGCTTAATAAATGCAGGGTATCTGCTACATTTTAGATTACCAAATCTATGACTTTTCATGACTTTCCACAAATAACTCCAATAATTTTTCATGACTTAGCTAAGTTACTATTTTCTCCACAAAAACAAATCAATAAATTTAAAAAAGCATCATAATAACATTAATTGAAATGATAGGTATAACCAAAACTGTTATACTCTGCATCTTCAGATTTATTGATTTTAAACTTAAAAAACAGAGTAAAGAAAAAGTTGAAGCGATAAAATAGCTGAAAAAAATACAAAATCAAATAACTAAATACTGTCAGATATATGTAGTTTTTTAAAGCTGTTTTATTCCTTCTTTAAGGTAAGTATAAAAAGCCTAAACTAGAATTTTAAATTGATAAAATAAAAAATAAAAAAATAATTAATAAATAAAGAAATTCTGAAATAATAGAAATTAAGATAATTCACCTCAGAAATGATGTACTTTCCTTCATTTTTTTTAAAGAACCTCATAATTTTTAAAGAACAGGATAAAAAAACTTTATACTTAAATAGAATATGACTATAAGTGGTGATTTTGCTACAAATTTAGATATTTGGAACATCAGAACACTGTGAAGTTAGGAGGGGGGTTTTCCATTTTAAAAATTAAATTTTTTGGCGACCTAAACCCACAGCTTTCCATGATTTTTTTTAAAAAAATAATTCAAATCATGACATTTCATGACAAATTTTGTTCAATACCGAAATTCATGATTTTCCAGGTAAGCAAATATACCCTGTAAATGTCTTTTTGTGAGTTCAAAAATGAGTCCTAAATTGCGCTAGTTTGGCATTTTTCTACTATGCCACAAACTATTACAATAAAATGCCAACCAACAACTGCCAATAAAACGATTGAAACACCCCAATAAAACGATTGAAACACCCCATGGATTTATGATGGTATCAGCAAAAATCAAGTGAATCAATAAGTGATTACTCAATTCAAATTTCATATGCCTTAATCATATAAGAGATTTAAAAACCTTGAAAAAATCAATAACAATAATTAACAAAAATATTATTGAAACACCCACAGATTTGAGATTGGATCCAGTGGGCTGAAAAGCGATCACTCAAATGGAGAATTCGAAATTTCCATGCCTTAACATCATATAAAAAATATTATATAATATATATATATAATTGATTTTATTTTATATAATAAGAGGAACAATATTAATATTGAATTGGTTTAATAATTCCTTTGTTTCAAATCGGAATTTCAAAGTGTCATATTTCCTAACATCGATTAAATTAATAGCATCGAGCATGTAAACATTAATACGTCAGATGATTTTTTTTTTTATTAAAAATGCAAACGATATTTTAAATGTTCAGAATTAGTTCTTGCATAATGAATTGTACATTATTGTTACATCCATGGCAATTCTTGACAATATTTACTTAACTTATATTTGACTTATGTTGTTAGTTAGTTTGAAATTATATTTTGCTCATATAAATCTACAAAAAAAATATTCCTCATGAATGAACGAGAACTCCTTGAGAAAAAGGGGATGTTGATGGTAATGGGAAAATAGAGGTTTCATTCATGAGATTTTGCAATTAAAATTTTAGAATAGCAGTGCTCCTCAGAAAACTTTAACAAAATGTAAATTTTTGATTAGCAAAAGTACATAAATTAAGTCTTGAGATTTGCAGCCTTCCATACATCAACGGTCTTGAGATTAACAGAATTCCGCGAATTAGAGGGAAATTACACATCACCAAATAATACAAAATGAAGTAGATAGTGACTGTGTGGAACTTAACGTTGCGACACAATGTGTATCCGGGGGAAAAAATTAAATGATCTAATAAAATGAAGTCATTTTTCAAAAGTTCCTGCAAGAAGTAAAATTTGTGTTTAGGCAAAAAAATGGTCAAAACAATAAGTTTGTATCAGCTTTTTTTTATTTGGTGCAGATCGGTGCAGGTTTGGGATCCCTGTAATATGTTATTTTGATTGATTCAAATTAACTTAAACCATATTAAACTAAGCGTGAATGATCATCTGTTAGTCTAGTGGTGAAAAGATTTCATTGATTTAAACCAGTACAAAAAAGAGGATAAAAAGATTAAATGGGACTGAATAACATACCTGAAACATTTTAGCATAGAGTCGATGAAAAAATGAATCCATAGCATCTTCAAGATCTACACCTCCAGTAGCATAATATTTCTCAAGATCATCAAACATTGATGAAAACAAATATGCATTTTGTTCATATAACTGACCATATGTTCTTACAAACATATCATGGAAACTTTTCCTAGAAACTTTCAGCAACTCTCTGAAAAATTCTGCAAGAAAAATAGACTAATTTAAAATAATATAATTTTTTTTTTTATTATCACAATATTTATTTAATGCAGTGTGCATAAAGAAAATTCTAAGAAACTTAAAATTTCTAGAACTGTTCCAGCGTATCAAAAATATTTTCCACTAAAACAGAAAACTAGTTCTTCCTACAACTCACAACAATTTTTCAACCTAAAAAGGTGCCAGTACATAGAAAAATTGAGCTAAATGGGAAAAAAGGAAAACCGTTAATAAAAAAAAGGACAAAGTATTTCTCTAAGAAATATTTATATTTAATACAAAAATAACTTTAATGCAACTATATTTCAGAAATAATACATAAAAATATATACAGAATTGAGGAAAGTATTATATTGTAAATTAATGCGAACTGAAAAAAATTTAGACAATTGTAAGGTTTAATTATTGAGTTTAATCCTTTAAAAAACTATAAACTTTACAATCAGAAAGCAAAGTTATTTATAAAAAGAAATGCTTGTTAATACTTCTTCCATAAAATATTTTTGTTAAAATTTATAATCAGGCTCAAAATTTTGTTAATAGAATTAATAAAGAAAAGCTTTAACAATTTCAAACTAGAAATACGGTGAATATACAGCAATTAAATATATTTGTACAAAAATAATCTTGTGGATAGTCGATCGTTTTTATTTTAAAAAATACTCATGATTCTTAAATTGTTAATTGGGATAAATTAATTTTAAGACAAGACATAAATTTTGAAAATGCAAGGTTCCATTCGCAAAATTTACTTAATTTGCATGAAATAGAAAATAAGTGTAAGATCAATAGATTCCTCACTTAAAAAACCATAACTATAAAATTAACAGTAGTTTTTTTTTTCTCTGTAAAATCTATCAAATTCTACAATTTTGAAACAACAAATACTGAAGGAAAAATTGCATGCATATTACTGCATAGAATTAGTAGATGATTTATAAGAACAAAATTTGGCAACTTCAAAATCACAAGGTTTTATCAATATTAATTTAAAAAAATAAATTGAAAAGATTTCAAAGAGATAAAAATCTGTGGTGTGTCACAAAACTTTAAAAGTGCTAATTGAAAAATTAAAATAAAAGAATGAGCTATTTGATTTCAATTATTAGTTTCAATGCTAGGTACCTAATTTGTGAAAAATCAATAATTTAAATGCTCTCTTACAATTTCCAAATCATGCGGGGAAATTGCATAACTGTTTTTTATTTCTATGAAAACTATGAATTTCTATTTCAAACTACAATTGTACATTACTAGTAACTAAATGATAAATAATAAAAATAGTAACATCCATTTTTACTGTGAACTTCTGCATTTCAAAATGGCTGAGAGAATATAATTCTGAAACTTAGATTTAAAAAAATTAATAAATAAAATAAAATTAAGGAAAAAACATGTGAGAGTAAATTTACATCTAGTGAATTTACTCAAACTATGAGACCACTAGCTGTTGTCGCATGGCACAATTTTTCTTTTGTGAAAGCGTACATGCTGAAATATGCTGAGATAACTTTTTTCAGAATGTTTGGACTAAATAAAGGAGCCCAATATGAAAATTGACTCAATGCAACAAAATGGTGGCTCAAATGATGTCTTCTAACTTTTATCATTTATGAGCCAATTTTTAGTTTTGGATATAATAGGAAAGAATAGGTGAGAAAAATATAATAAAACTATTAAAATGCAATAAATATATACACACATCTTTAAAATTTGCATTGAAAACTTTTGGGTTAATTTTTTTACAAACTTCAAGAATTTTTTACAGTTAAGGCACAAGTTTTAACTCTATTTTTTCACACTGTTTTGTGTTTAATATCATAAACTTCAGCATAAAAAAAAGAGGGCATATTTGGTTCTGGTCATTAAAAAAAAATGGTTTTTAGTAAAAATATTTCAAGATTTCAGAGCATTTCAAGTTTCCTTGACCTCAAATTCTTTCATACAGTTGACTCGCGTTATAACGACCCCATCGGGACTGTCCTAATCTGGTCGTTATATCAAATGGTCTCTATATCAAAATGAGCAAATTTCCTTTGAAAATCAGTCACATAATGGTTTTAAACGTCATAATGCATGCATATACTATTTGTGGTGTACATGTTATAAACCAAAAAAGGATAGGATACATTAATAAAACATAGTGACATTTTAACAATTGACTTACAAGTGTTAACAATTAAGAATTTTATTTTAAAGTACAGATTAAAAAACATAGTATGACAAAAAAAACTAGTTTCTAATGAATTAATTTTTCGATGTACATAATTTGTGGTATATATAAAGAATTTTTTTTTATGTACATAATCTGCAGAATTATAAAGAAGAGTAAACCGAGGAACATAAACGAGGCTTCATTAAACGAAGACATTAATTTTTTGATGTGCATTAATTTGTTGAAGTTACATGTTTTAAGTTTTTGTAAAAAAATCGGAAATTGATGTTTGTCGTAATTTTGAGCTCTGGAAAAACGCTATTTCCACACTGTTAATTTTCTCCAAATGGTCATCTGAATTTAGGTCACACTCAAAAAAATCCCTTAGTGTGTTTATTGCTTTTGCAGCTTGTTTAATTGAAGGCCTTTCCTTCGGCAAAACACTAATTTCCTCGTCAGGTGAAGCCTCGTCCATATCTTTATTTAACAATCCATTTAAAATCTCCTTCTCTGTTAATTCCTATGTACATTGTACATCATCGTCGACTTTTGCATATTCGTCAAAGTTGTTCATGGCATCACTCAAACTTACATACGAGGAAAATTCCTTCAATATTTCATCGTCTAGGTCATCTAAGTGATCCATGTCCTCGCCACACGGATTTTCCTTTTTACAAAATCCTGCTGATCGGAAAGAGTTCTTGATGGTGTTTACTGAAATTTCTTTCCAAGCGGTTTCTACAGTTCGTAGAGCAACCAGCAGATCATCAAATTTCATGTTGTTTTCCACATGAAATAAAATTTTGCGAACCAACATTCTCCTGTAGATTCTTTTGAAGCTGTGGATCACACCTTGATCCATTGGTTGGGGCTCTGATGTCGCATTTGGGGGAAGGTACTCCACTTTTATGGCCTTCAAATTTTTAATTTCCTTTGAATGCGCAGTGCAATTGTCGACAATTATCAAAATTTTTCTGTTCTGTTGATACATTTTTTTATCAAGGATTTGAAGCCATTCTTCGAACAGCGAACCCGTCATCCAAGCCTTCTTGTTGGCACGATATGCCACAGGTAAAGATTTTACACCCTTAAAACAGCAGGGACGCTGCAAATTACCAATTACAAGCAATAGTAATTTCTCATTACCTGACATATTCGCTCCAAGCAGAACAGTTATTCTTTGTTTGGACCGCGAAATTCTTCTGCATGTTTCACCTTTTAAAAGTAAAGATCTATCAGGTAAAAGTTTATAAAAAAGTGCAGTTTCAACTGCATTAAAAATATCGTTCTCACTATAGTTTTCCGTAATTTTTTTAAAAGTTTCTTCCTGGAATATACGACAGTATCTTTGTTTACTGAAGAGCTTTCCCCGCATATTTTTTTGGACACTATTTCATGCCGATGCTTAAAGTTCTGAAGCCATCCATCGGAAGCTTTGAAGGATTCATTGGGATAGAGTTTTTCAAAAAAAAAACTGTTGCCTTTTCTTTTAAAGTGTTTCCATCCAGAGGATTGTTCTTGCTGCGCATGCCTTTGATCCAATCTAAAAGGGGGTTTTCAAGAAGAGGGAATTTTCCATCTCTGAGTCGCATTCTTTCTGGTGCAACGTTTAAAATGGATTTTCTGTTCTTCACTATTGTGAACAGAGTGCTCTTAGGTATTCCAAATTTTTCATCGATTTCAGTTTTAGGCATGAGTTTCTCGTCGATGCATTCTAAAATTTTTCTTTTCACATGAATAAATAAAGCACAACATTTAGCTACTAAAGGTGGCATTTTTATCAAATGACAAATCAGCGTGTTGAAATGCAAACTTGCAAAATTAAGTTGCACTTTAATCAAATGCAAAAACCTTTTCCAGTTAAAAACAAAATGAAACGGAAAAGGGGAGGCAAAGAGGTGGGGATGTCGGCAATGGGAGATGGGGGGGGGCAAGAGTAAACTAACTCACCCGATTCGACAGCTCATACTCAATGCTCGATGGCGTTTGTTGTCTACACACCCCCATAGTAGCCAACTGAAATCGCTTTGTCTTGACGCCGTGTGAGACCTTCGGATTCTAGGAAACAGGTGGTGTGCTTGTTCAAGGTCAACCATTCAACCCCACTTTCCAATAGGAAGTTAGAAAAGAGTGGTGTTCAAATTCAGAGAGGGTCGTTATATTAAGAGTTGAATTTTTTTACGGTCGTTATAGCAAGAGTAAAATAACGTTATCTTTTATGGATGTGAATTGGGACTCCTTCACAGGGTCGTTATATCATGTGGGACGTTCTATCACAGGGTCGTTATAACGCGAGTCTACTGTATAATGTTAAATGGCATATTTTTAATCATAAAAAGATCAAAAGGTTTTTAAATAATAAAAAAAGAAATTCTATGATTAAAATAGGTGTTAAATACGGTGAGATGATCTTGGGGTTTAATCATTACAAAACGCCTTTAACATAAAATATATTTAATAACAACAGGGTGCGTAGCCAAATCTTTGAATCAAAAATAAGCACTTAACAAAAATTTTCAAGCACTCAAAAAATTCATATTCAATCAATGATATTATTGAAAAACAAAAACTTTTTATAAACAGTTTTAGCGTTAAAAAAAAACCCAAAAAGAAACGGGCATAAATCGAAACAATCAGTACTTTCCCACATCACCGAGTGAATTCAACTTGACCCTGAACTCAGAACAAAACTACCCTTACCCCTACGTCAAAAAAAGTGTTAGAAGTAAAATAAAATAAACAAGAACAAAAATAAAATAAATTAAAAAGAAAAACATTTCATAAGGATCTGATATTCTCTATCCGAATTGGAGCACTCGGGTTTCGGTTACAGGTGTGCGCAAGTCATAACGTGGGTACGACATGAAGTCCGCGTGAATGATTACGTAGCAAACTCCCCATTTTTCGTGAAATGCATGGGATCCACCAGATATCACTGAAGGGAAGGAAAACAAATTATTCGAAAAAAAGCACTTTTGAAAAACGCCAGCTGAAAAAAGCACCTTTAAAAGCTTTTAAAAACGAAATCCCAAAAAAAGCACCTTTAAGTACTTTTTACAAACGCTACGCACCCTGAACAAACACGGATGATGGTAATGATACAGTGGAATGGAAGAAACTGATTATAATTAATTATATGATTTCACATTACTGCGCAGAGCGCCATCTGTTTAGTTTCAGATATTATTATTACTTACATTGATATATTATTAACAATAGGTTACCTTGTAATGTTACTCAAGGTTTTTGACATTTAACAGTTTTATCTAGTTTTAACCCTTAGGTCAAGAGTCCCAGTTTGATATAGCTCTTGACAATTGTCAAAAATTGAAATTTTGGTGCAGAAATTCACAATTTTTTATAAACATTAAATAATTATAAATAAAAATGAGTAAAATTGCAATTTTTATAATTTGTTGATTTATTTATTGAAAATAAAAATACAAACACAATAATCCAAATAAAAAAAACACTTAAACACAAATCTTGTTCATTATGTCTAAAATAAATTTTTATTTTACTTTTATTATAAAGTCCTCCTTTCCCCAAAATATGCGAAAACATAATACTAGGTAGTTTCCAAGCCCACTCAACTCTATGTTTCTTTCTAATAAATAAGACTGTAGAAAGTGTAATTTTATATTTCAAAATACAGTAGGGAACCGATTATCCGGAACAATCGGGACCATCGCTATTCCGGATAACTGATTTTTCCGGTTTTCTAAATTCCTACAAAAAGCAGTTTTTTTTATTGTTAAACCCAACTGAAAAAAATAATATTTGGAAATAATCTTAAAAAGAAGAAAAAACGAGGTAATACACTAATGATTATTTCCAAAATGATAGTAAGGTAAACATCTTTCCAAAAAGAAAGAAAAATCCTAAAATCTTATGAGGAAAAAAAAAAATTCTAAAACTGGCGGGAAAATTTATCGAATTTGGTTCCGGTTTTTTGGTTTTCCGGTTTTCTGAATTCCGGATAACGGGTTCTGTACTGTACCAAATTTGAACAAAAATGATCGAATAGTTTCTGAAATGCCAATTTTTTAAAAAGTTGTATATTTAAAATTACATTCTTTAAAATGATGCAAAAATTCTATACCTTACACCTTAAAAATCTTTTTTACTATTATTAAATAAAATAATAAAAAATCATTTTATTATTAGAAATATTATTAGTTCTTATTAGAAAGTACAACATTTTCAAAATTCTAAAATTACACTCATTTTAAAACCAATTTAGAAAATGTGGGAATATAACTGAGGAATTATTTTTAATTTAAACTAATTCTTTTAAAAATATTAAAATTAAGAATTTTGTACATTTTGAGTATCTTAAAAGCGATGCAAATAATTGTGAATGCCCTTTTTATGATAGATGCCCTTTTTTAAGGGCAGGGGTGATTGTGAGTCCAAGTCAAAATTACGGAAAATTCCTTGAGTTAAAAAATAAATAAAAAAACAGTTTAAATTGAAAAATTAGGAAAAAATTTAAACAAGGTTTTTTTTTTCATTTTTCTCAATATTTCTTAGTTTACTTAAAATATATTTAAAATTTTACACATACCTATACCATTTACACATACCTGGAGAAGTAATTAAAATTTACAAATATGTCTTTCTTTCTTGAGTTTATGATTATAAACTATTTACTGATAAAAAATAAATATTAATCATGAATATAAGCTAATAAGGTATATCTCCGACTCTCCCTTACAAACAAATAAAATAAACTGTGTTTTTAAGTTCCACCTCTGAAAATTTGGAAACTTCTGTGATCAATGATTTTTTTAAACGTCTGGACCTTCGATCTCCGGAAACTTCCAGATTACTGCTTGCGAAAATTCCGGAAATCCGGATTTTTTCCGGAGCACAATCAGCCCTGTAAGGGGAAAAGCACCTTTTTTAATTTCTAATGCCCTACCTTTTTTTAGGTCTAGAATGAACCCTGTAAAATTAATAATCTATGAAGATATCAAACTTATTCATTTTATGACAGAGTTATTTATTTTGTATTTAATCTATTTTGGTCAGATGCAAAACTTTTTTCGTAGAAGTAATAAATTTTGCTCATTGTCTTGAAATGGTGTATATCATGCAATAGATATTTTTTATTATCATTTATGGAAATTTTGGCTGTTTTAAAAAGTTTTTATAATAAAAAAATATATAAATTTTAAAAGTTGAAGAAAAACCTTAATAAAAATTAGCAAAAATCTAATAATAATTTTAAAATAATATAAAAAATTTCTTTTATTGTCAACCTTTGGTTCGAAGCCTGCAACCTGTTAAATGAAAAATTCAAAGGCATTTCCACAATAATCGTAACATGCATCACAAACAACTAAGATTTACAATGGACACCTCATAACTGCCCCATCATGTATTTACACAAATAACTAATCACACAACTAATAACAAATAACTAATTACACAAATAATAAATTCCGAACAGTCTCCTTGAACAATTTTTTATTTTTTTAATGATAAAAGTCTAAAAAATTTGGAATTTTAATAAATTGGAAATTCCTACAAAAGAATCTGATCTTTGTATATAAGTTGTTTTGCAATTGGCACATTGTTAAATTAGGTTTAGTAATAGATAGAATTAGTAAATATATATACCAACCATCAAACAAATGAGACTGAGTTTCAAACAAATCTCTTAATTCTCCAATAGTGAGAAACAACAGTTTGTCAAATTCAGCTCGACTATGAGTACTTAACTTGTGTTCCATTTCTTCAGTGCAACAAGTCAGTCCTCTTTCACAAATTCGTAAATGTTCTCCTGCAAAAACAGTAAAAATTAACATTTCAAAAAAACTGATCACTAAGAACAAACTAGTTTATCTTACAAAAAATTAAACAAATCTCAAACTTTATCTTTCCAAATTTGATCAAAAGGAGTTCAATGCTTATTAAAACCATGTAATATCTGAAGAATAAATAATAAAAAGTGACTAATTTTATATATAATACTCTTCAACTCAACACATTCAAAAATATTTACATAATAAAATTATGCATTGTAGAATTGGTTTAGTATGTGGCTGCACCAGTTTTTTGGAAGTACTTATTTTCACACCAATATTGGCAATAATAACTGCCATTATGATGTTTGGATTATACTCGTGTTCACCCAAATAAATGTGATGTAATGATCAGGAGAGTAGGAGGATAAAAGGTATAAACTTAATAGTTTCACTGTTTCTTCCCCCAGTTTAAGTTCAATTGTTCAGTATAAATTTGCCCTAATCTAGAGATATGTGCAGTGGAAAAAAAAGACATTTCAGCAGGAATTCAAACATTCATTAAATAAAATGATTGAGAATATTTACAGATCACAAAACATAATCAAACAAGAAAACATGTAATAGCACTTGATTTCTTAAGAAACCAGTGGCCTTCTAGGAATGTACCATTATAATAACCAGAGCAAGTTTAATAATATAGGGTGTGTTGCTGACCTGTGCCTGTTAAGGCAGAGGGGTGCGGTTGTCATGTTTTCCAGTGGCGCCATCTATGTCTAAAGAATTCGACTTCTTCCACATCCATATGTCACGCCCATTTATAGGGTGGACCCATTCATTCATCCACAGATCGTAGTTTTGACCTAAATTAGAGAACGATCAATCTCCAATACAGTACCCCTAGAGGTACTGATTTGTTATGGGAACATGGAGGACTGTGCTACCCGACAGATTTAATGTGCATCAGTCACCAGTTTGGCCGGCAGGGTTCGAACCCCCGAACTCTCTGACATGGGCCTAACACCCTATCAACCAGGCTATCCCAGTCCCTAAGATGTACATAAGATAAATATTTTTAAAAAAAGGCTTTCTGGATTTTGCTGTTAAAATTATAATAGGAAATAAAAGGTTTTCTCTTTTGTTTTGTAAAATAAGTCTTAATGACATTTTAATAAATAAATATAAAAAGGGTTTTCTTTTCTAAATTTTATTGTTGAAATTATTATAAGAAATAAAAGATTTTCTCTTTAGCTTTGTGAAATGAGTCTTGGTGACATTTTAACATGCATTTTAACTTACATGTGTGATGTTGTAACCTACATACGTTCAATTGGTCTTTTTGTAACTGGTAGATCTTTCATAGGTCATGAACATCATTCCTTTTCGTTAATACTTGAGTCCAAGTTTAAACTTATTGTATTGTATTCTTTTTGCTAATTTTCAGTTGTCAGATTATGTTGTGTTATTATACGTCTAAACGTTTTAAAATCAACTTATTTAATCAAACAATCTTTTTTTAGAAATACTTAAATACTTTTTTAGAAATAAACTCATATTGATGTTCAAACATCAGAAAATTTGCCTGAGAGCTATTTCATATTGAAGGGTGTGACAAGTAAAAACAATATTAAGAGCTAATATTTATATTTAGAGCTATAAATTAGTTAAGAATTGTTTGAAATTTTTATATTTTTTAGGGATGATTGTGACACAAAGTGAAAAACCCTGAGAATTTTTTGGGCGAACACCTGATATCAATTTATCTATTATACATGAATAATATAATTTTTTTAAGTAATATTTATATTTAAATTACCTTCCAATGAAAAATATCACATCTTTTTAGTAATTAATTTAAGAAAAAACTTAGTTTTTATTAGAATATCGATATTGGATACTAAAATCATCTGAATATGAATCGAAATCTTGGATTTTAAGAATACGAAGATAAAAATTGTGATATTGGATATTTAGATCATATGAATCAATATGTGTAACTTTTAAGTCACGTATAAATATGAAAATTCACACTTGATATTGCAAACGTTTGAATACGAATAACAAAATTGAATATTAAACTCGCTTGAATGCAAATCACAATACTGGATTTCAAAAACGTTTGATTACAAATCATAATATTGATTTTTTAAAATGCGTAAATACAAATTACAATTTTAAATCACGTGAATAGGAAGTGCAATGTAAGATTTTTAAATTGCGAGAATAAAACATGTAACTTTTAAATCAGGTAAATACAAAAATCGAATTTGATATTAAAATCATGTGAATATAAATTGTAATATTAGTGGATTCCAACATAGTTTAAAATATTAAAAACTGCAAAAATACTACAAACCAAGAAAAAAAAATCCAATTGACAGAAGAATCGCCTGTATAAAAACGTCTCATTATCGTGATTCAGCAAAAGTTTCTAAATTTAATTTTAGATTGCATAACTCAGTGAAAATTTAGCTGTATTATACGTTTTGATTCTGACTGAAAGTCCAGAAATTCATAATTTTGAAATATGCAGAATTCCAAGAAATTTACAGAAAATCTCATGCTCTGCTTATAATTTCTAGACCTGGAAGGATTCTACAAAAAACCTGGAATTAAGGGGTACACTTGGAATGCAATGACCTCTGATCTATCAGTGAGCTTAGCCAAATCTTTCATCAAAAAATAAGCACCTTTTAAGCGCTTAAAAAATATTTTTAAGCACTATATACATTAACAAAATGCAAAATAATTTTCAAATACTTTTACATGATCATGATAAAATAACCAATTTCTTACAAAGAACTCTTTTCTTGGTTTTATTGGCCATTTAAAATACTCGAGACATTTTTCTTTTCAATATCAGACGCTGGAAGCCTGAAATTGAGAATATCTTGAAAAATGCAGCAGAGCTACAAATAAGAATGCGAACCCACCTCAGGAGATGCACATGCGGACAACAAACACAGCAGACACAAGTATTTCCTCAAACATGTAAAATTATTGGCTCTTTCATACGCTATGAACCCACGGTATGCCGAAATAGATTGTGGTTGAATGAATTGTGAAAGGAGCGAAAATAAGCACTTTTTAAAAACGCTTCGCTCTATGTTTACCTATATCTGCGCTTCAATTATTAAGCAGGAATAATGTAATAATTAAGCAAAAGCTCAACATTTTTTAAAAAAATATGTTACAATATTCTCAGGAGACTTTTTGTGAAACAAAACAATATTTTATAAATAAAATAAAAAAGTAACTACTTTGGTATTTCCATATCCGCATCTATTTATACAAACTACAATCAATCACTCAGGCACCAAAAGAATTTTAAATTTGAATTTTAAAAAAATATCCAAAAGTCAAGGTTGGCAAGTTTCTGCCAAGGTGGTTAAAACCACTGGTAGAAACTGGTTAAAACTGGCATGGCAGAAACCGTGGCAGAAATTCAGAAAATGACATAAAAGTAAGTACTAAGATTGACATATAATGGACAATTCATAGGAAAAACAATTAAATGTTAAACAAAGTACAATTTATTTATAAAATTATCACCATTCAAAATCAAATATTACATTGTTTGCACTCTGCAGTAATCTATAACAAAAGACAAGTTATGATGCAGTTTCTTAACCTAAATAATTTCTCAATTTGCTATGCACGAAAGAGAAATTTGAGAAGATTCTCTCAAGTCTAGCAGAACTAGCAGACATTGCTATCAAGGAACAAGCAAGAATTGTGAAACTTTCATCTATTACATATTTTTTAAAACTGGACCACCATGTAGCAGCTGGGGTAGTTGTTAAAACTTGACTGGAAAAATAAGTTTCAGGAAATGGGTCCGATACATTTTGCGAAGCTATGACATAAGATCAGGGTTTCCGCTACGGTAGCTTTTTTCGCAAAATGCGAAAAGACCCCTCAAAAATGCTAAAATTCAACAAAGCATTTTCGCATTTTTGCTAAAGGATTTTACTAAATTCCATTAAAAAAAAAAGCTTCCGCGAAAAACCATGACGCTAACATCCATGAAAAAAACTTGATCAAACAAGAAGGAGAAAAAATCTAAATATCTTTCGCAAGAAGAACCATGACGTTGCATTTTCAATTTGTTTTCGGAATCTCCCAGAAAAGATTTTCAGTTTACAGAAACTGAATTACTTTGTGAATGGGGATTATTTAAACACATCTTAATGCAACGATGTAAAAACATGTCATTTAATGAATTACTTTTATTTTTATATACCAATGATGTGTCTGAACAGTACCCATTAATAACTTCTGNGGCATTTCAAATACTCCTGACTATCTCAGTATCAATTGCTAGCTGCGAACGTTCATTCAGCAAATTAAAATTAATTTTGACAGATCGCCTAAGTGACCTAGCATTTTTAAGTGTGGAAGGAGAAAAATTTTAAATGATCAATTTTGATGATATTATTGATACATTTGCTTCATCAAAAGCACGGAAAATTTGGACATAGTAATAGTTTTATTAATGTATTATAATCATATGATTATTAAATATATGTATCTCCTTAGAGATAATAAATATTTACTTTTTCATTGTTTAAAAACTGCGTGTTTTTAAAATATTTCTTTATAAATATGTAAAATAAATAATAGGTATCTTTTGAACTAATTCTAGATGATCATATACATTTCAAAATCTAGTCTTGTTCTCTCAACTACATTTTTTGTCTCAAATTTAAAGCCTAGCTTGAGTCTATGACTTTATTTATTAATTTGCTATAATCCAAGTCGCCTATATATAAACCATATATATTTAACATATAATATTATATGGTTTTCGAATGGGGGGGGGGCGCTAAAAGGGTATTGTGCCCCGGGCGCGAGTTAAGCTCGCTACGCCACTGGGTACAGAAACCTTCCCACTAAAAAGTACACAGTAGAGACAAAATCTATTGAAATAAATAGCTATATAAGGGCATTGAGAATTGAATACTGCATTTGTTTTCAAAAATACTATTGTTGACAAACATATAATAACACCAGTACAACAAATTTAAAAAAAAAAAAAAAAAAACATCAATAATGTAGCAGTCAAATATTTTCAGTTTAGATACAATTCAGAATATTTAAAAAATAAAATCATTCTTACCAGAAATAGCTGAAGGAGGAACATCTCCATCATCAAAACCTTTAGCAGTGTATGCATATTTGACATTAGAGCATGGCAAAGGTTCTTTACCACTGATTATTTTCACTAATACAAGAACAAAAGCAAAACAAACAAATTGTTTCATACCGATACTTATGGGAATCACTATGAATTGGAAGAAAAAAAATACCCTTAACTCAAAGCATAGTAAGCAAGCTGAGATCAGAATAAAAAAGTATCTTTGTTCTGTTAAAACAATTCAATGATGTGATTATAAGCAAAGTATTTTTCCCTATCTTGTATGTTTTACATAGCTAACCATTACATTCATTTATGGCTAGCATAGTATTTTAGTTACATTCTTTTACATGGTCCACAGTATAAGCAGGGATATTTTCGATAAAAAAAATAAAAGACTAGCAGTTATTGTGGATAAGCATTCAGAGTAAAGTAGTATGCGCCAAATTATTTGATCTTTAAGATTAAACTACTTCTAACTGAATAAACTATATAATAGTGAAACTATTTAACTATTTTAAGCACTATATTTTGCTTATCGATATTTTTTTTTCTTTCTTTTTTGTTTTGTATAATACCTACATTACCCCAACTCTAGCCCCTTCTAATCTGCTGATGATGATGACTGACGAGTTATTTTAGAGCTCTTTGCTGCAATGCGCTTATAGCTTGCTTGTTTTTAGAGTCTACTTATCTGTTGTTGTTGTTAATTTACGCCGCACTAGAGTTGTTGTTGTCAAGGGCGCCGGCAGTGGGGTGCAAGGGGGTGCACTTGCACCCCTCTGGCTTTTTTTTAAACTATTAAAGAGATACAGAAAAACAATTTTGTTATAATGAAAAATTTTGTCAAAAATTTTTTTATTCAAAAACAAATAATTAAGTAATTATTGATACATAACAATTAAAAAATTGTTTAATCAAACAAGAATTGTAATCGTCTGTCCAAATCTGTTTATAACTTTTTCAATGAATTTTGAGTTATCTTTGATTCTTTTCTTATGCGCACTGAGCAAGCACAAACTCAAACTACTCAATCTCTCGTAAGACATTGTGTAGATCGATTCCATGTTTTGATGCTTCGCATTGTACTAAAAGTGCGCTCAATAGTGCACGTAGTAGCTGGAAGAATTAGACCAATTTTGATTGTCTCCGCTACAGCTGGATAAAACGGTCCTGAATAACTAAATTGAGGTATTCGAGGGTGTAGTAGTGACATAGGCAATTAGAAGGAGATTTATTGTAAAGGAGGGAGGCCTGAGCAGTCGCCTGGTAGTCGGGTGGCAGGGGCAATCAGGACCCTGTCGGTCTTGATTTCTTTTAGGTTTCTTAGCCAATAATCTGCGGGTGGGGATCTAGCTAGTACCCTCGTTGGAGAAGGACCCCAACCAATGGAAAGGGGACCGAGGTTTCCTGAGGACGAGGAAGAGAAAAAAAGAGCGAAGACGAATGGAAGGCGAGAACGAACTGTTGACCAAAAAGGCGAGAAGGAAGACAGCAAACCCCCCCCCCGCAGAAGATGGTGAGAATATGTTTTAAATATTGTTTTTCTCTTGTCAATTTTCTAGGCCTCCTCCTCATTGCCTCACCTCATTTTTAATACCTCCTGGTAAATATACTATATTCGTGTTATTAATAATAGCTAATATCTTATTAAATAAAATTGTATTTTTTTTAATTTAATGGTTATTGTTTGTCTTCTCTAGTTTCTTAGACACATTGCTTCAATCCTAATCTGACCGAACTTGGGTTTTGTTTAATATAAATTTTATCTATTGGATATATTTAAATTATCCCTTAAATAGTCACGACAGAGGGATTCATGAGAATTTTCTCTATTAAAACAGATGGAAAAAAATAGTAGATGAAAGTATATGTAATAACAAAACAAAACGTAATAATAGAAGATTTTAAATTTTTTTTTTTTGGAAGGGGGCTGGGCTAGTTTGTTAGAGGGTTGCACCCCCTTTTTTATTATTCTGCCGGCGCCCTTGGTTGTTGTTGTTGTTGTAGTTAATTTACGTTGCACTAGAGCTGCACAATGGGCTATTGGCGACGGTCTGGGAAACATCCCTGAGGATGATCCGAAGACAAGCCNATTTGGAGAATTATATTTCTTTTTATTGCTTTTACAAGATCGAAATATATATATATATATATATATATATTATACGTAGTATAATTTAAGTTTTCTTATAAGAAAACTTTATTCGTGTAACTTGCGTTATTCTGCAAGCTCGTGTTGTTCATCTGGAAATTAATTTATAAGTGTGAGATAAACAAATTTGTTAAAATAACTCATTAATTCTTTTTGATATTAAAAATACTTAATTGTTAGGATCATTTTACAAATATACTGTATTTATGTTTCATTAAACGCATAACTATATTTAAAAGAATTTGTGTTTATAACATACCATATTTAATTCCCCTGATATGAATAATTGGATGTGTTAATGTAGAACTGAATTAGTTCACTTTTTACATTTTGTCATTCTTGCCAAGACAGTTATATCAGGCAGTACCGCACTTATTAATTGTTTTACAGGAAATCGAATTAGCTAATCAGCATACTTGTATGTCTGTAACTTCCTATATCACTTGCGCATAGCATTCACTCAAAGTTGAGATTACCAAGTTAAAACTAGAGAAAAGATGCTTTCGCTATGTTTTTAATTTTAATGAAACTATAATTATTTTTTTTAAATATAGTGAGGATGTTTTTTAAAAATTTTACAGAAATTGTATTTGCGTAAAAAATAAAAATATTTTATTAAAGAAACAATAACAAAAAAATAATGTAACATTTTAATAGCATGTTTTATTGGAACAATATTTTGAAGGAGAATTCTATTTAACTTTTATTGTAAAAAATTGAAAAACATTTTATTCTTTTTTTTTTGGAAAGAGCGAAAAATAGCTAAAAAAACGGATAAAATATGTCTCCGACGCTCAGTATACAAATTACCATTTATCTTTCTTTAATATATCTTATAACTTTAATTTTGCAGGTTCGTGCCCTGAAAATCCCCCCGGACTGAAAGTGTTTAATAGAACTGGGCCACTTATAGAACTTTAGACTACGACAGTGCAATCTTTTAAAGATCTTATCTAAGCGTTATGTGGTTGAGGGCTGCATTTGATGAACGATCTTAAAATTAGCGTTGAAAACGTAGTATAGTTCTAAATTTAAAATTTATAGTTGTAAACCTAGATTTGCTATAGATGTAAAGATTAAATTTTATACCAAACTTTAAAATGAAGCTCTAACTTGCTAAAATTTTAAAAGATTGATTTAATAGAGAATATCACTAAAATATGACAGGTGGGATAATAATTTTTGGACAATGAACACTTTATTCAAGTTTAAATATTGAAAAAAAATTTAAAAAGATAAAATAAAATAAGCAATAAAAAAATATTTTAAAATAGACCTTTGACTGGGATCGAACACCGGACCCCTAGGACTTTAAATTTCTTTGGTAACCATGCTTCGCCTCATATGCTGTTGCCCCGAATATTATGCCTAAAGAGGTTCTCAGCGGTTTTTCACCGGAACCTATTTTTGTTCATTGTGGGTCCCCTAATACGTCTATAAGAAATTACTTTACTACAATTTTCAGTAAAGTAACACTCGATCGAAGCACTCGAATACGCCATCTGGAGAGAGACCGGTTTCATGCCTTTAGCCCTTCCCTCTCTTCTTCTTTTCAGTTGTATTGGAATGTACTACGATATTTTCCCTTTTCTTAATATTTTGACTTTTTATTTAATAAAAATATTTTTTTAAATTGCCATGATACTTTTCTTTAGAACTATGTTTAATGTAATTTTCAGTTCCATATAGTTTTCTAACTTAAAAGATTTTAATCTATATGAAAATCAAGAGAGAAACTAACGTACTTCCTTCCTCTATGACTTTCCACTCGGTAATGGGGAAAGCATGTGAAGTGTCGCCATAGGTAGAGAGCTCTTCTTTACGCCACCTGCAGCCCATTTCGATCGCCAATATTAAAGTATAATTTCTTTAAAAGTTTGAAAATTATAAGTGAATATATTAAGTGGAGGTAAGGATGGAGGATTCGTCAGCGTAGAGTCGGGGCCTAAATTAATTCTTTTTTTTTAGCTATTATTCGCTCTTTATAAAGGAAAAATAATAATTTTTTCTTAAAGAACACTTTATTCATGTCAAAATATTGAAAAATAAATAAGATAAAAAAATAAATTAAAAAAATAATAAAATCTTTTTAAACGTTAACCTTTGACCGGGATCGAACTCTGAGACTTCAAATTTCTTTGACCACCAGGCCGCTTCTCTACTGATCATGCCACGCCTCACACGTTGTTCACCCGAATAGTAGGCATACAGAACTTTTCTCCGGTTTTTACGTGGAACCTATTTTGACCCATTGTTTGCCCCTTAACTTGTCTATAAAATATTCCTTTAGTACGATTGTTTAGTATATTACATAATTTTTTTTTTAAAAAATTAAATTTTTCATGTTACCGCATGAATTATGTGTCAAACTATTTTATTTTATGTTCTCTATCTAAATATAAACAATCCCTGCAAGTTACAGCAATGTAACATTATTTTTAAAAAAAAACTTGTTAAGAGTCCACTGTAGCCAAGTTAGCAACATTGTGGGGAGTGAGTAGCTATCGACCCTGTCAACCTACATGTATGAAAAGGTACCCTATCATAGAATCGAGTTAACATGTCTTATATACTAGTGAATTGGAATTGTTATTTTGTAGTAGTGTATACACTACAGTACTCACACACCAGAATTTTATCTGTAATAGAATTCAATGAATGCGATGCCACTAGTTGATTCATTGCTGTCTTGTGAGAAGCCGGGAAAGCTGTATTAAGATCACCATACCTTTTGAGTGCTGGTTGTGAGAGCTGTATTAAGTTAATGGCTGTGGACGCTCCTGTGTTACCTTTAACAGTCGAGTTTATACGTTGCGTGTGATCGAGACTCAGAAGCAACAGCATGAGGAGGTTAATGTCGCCGTCACAAGTAACAAGTCAACTGTTCAATGTGGGCCTTCCATCGAAGTAGGCGTGTTCATAGCGAAGTGGGAGTTTCTGTCACAGTAGGCGTGTTCATATAACGTCCGGGTCACACATGTGGGGAGTGAGTAGTTATCCATCCTGTCAACCTTCATTTATGATAAGGTACCGCAATATAGAATCGAGTTAACATGTCTTCTATACTAGGAAATTGGAATTATATTTTCGTAGTGGTAGATACACTACAAACATAATTTGGCAAAGTTTTGTGAACCCCGTTGAACAATCCAACTGTAATAAACTTTTTTAAAATTATGTCGGAACACATTTGACTGTCCTTTAAAAAAATCTCAGAAAGTAGTGATTTTTTAGCAGCTTTATATTTTACCTCCAAATCTTCTTGCAGAACATTTTTATTTTATTTTTTTGTCATTTTATCATTTTTAAATTTTTTTTTTTAAATGTATAAATTATATCTCACTCTCTCACACTCTGTAGAACATCATCGGATTTTCACGGATTTGTTTGAGGGGTGGGCTTTCAATAGATTTCTATTTTCAAATTACATGTTGAGTTTTAAAATCCCACTCAGAAAATGAACATTCTTTTAA